GGGTGAGATCCTGGGCCCACTGAAGTCCATGGGAGTTTTGCCATTGATTTCCACAGAGCCAGGAGTTCACCCTGGTGGCTCTTGGCAGAGGCTCCCCTGGGCTTTGGGCAGCTGGAGCCAGGCTGTACAGCATTAAAGGACTGGAAAACCTGCCTGATCATGAGAGACTCCAGGCGCTCCATCTGCTTGGCTTAAAGGGAAAGTTATGGGGTGACCTGATCCCAGTGTGTAACGAATATTTGATAATGGGCTCATCCGTCTCTAGCAGACAAAGATCTAACCCGACCCAAAGTCTGGAAGCTGAAACTAGACAGGTTCAGACTAGAACTAAGGGGCAGATTACTCACAGTGACAGTCGCTAACCATTGGAACATAGCAATGGCAGCTTCTCCATTCCTGGCAGTTTTTAAATCAAGACGGGATGTCGATCTGCTGTAGTTCAAATGGGAATTAATGCAAGGCAGTTCTCTGGCCTGGGTTCCACAGGGGGCAGACTAGGTGATCACAGGGGACCCTTCTAGCCTAAAACTTTAGGAATCTATTAATCAGTTGTTCTTCTGGCGGAGAAGGGGGAAGGGGCCTCCGGAACATGGGTCTGCCTGGGGCCTGGTGCTTGTCTGCATGCTGATTTAGTTAAGCCAGTGGAGAAACCTGTGGACAGACACTCTGGTTCCAAACAGGCTTGTTTCAGTTCGGCTGGTGAAGATTAAGAGCAGTTTTTAAAGTAAGTTTCCACTAAATAAAGCCCCACAACAGCGCATCTCAAACCCAGATCTACAGACTCAGCCTGTAGGCAGGGCACTAGACATAGCAGTGTAGCCATTCCCCCTGAGGCTGGAGCCTGGGCTCTGAGCGCCACCCCCCTCACCGGGTTTCAGAGCCTGAACTCTGGGCCGAGCCGTAGCAGGAGCCCCGTGAGCCAGAGGCTGTGGCCCAGGGCTCTGAGATTTCCCACTGCAGGGTTTTGGGGGGGTCTTCCGTGTAGATGCAGCCTAAGTGACCACCAAGGGGTTAGCACTGCTTTAACTAAAGATGTGCAAATTTGCATGTAGATTACCCCGTGGTGTGGACTAGCGCGGAGTGCAAATGGCGGGGGTCCAACTGAGCTGCAGATGGGTGGCGGTGGAAAGGGGATGGCCCTGGGGGATGTCAGAGGCCTGGGCGGATGCAGAGTTCGCAGTGTAGTTTGCAGCGTGATGTGCAGTGCATGCTCCGGGAAGGGGGGTGGGGGGGAGAGTCCCTCGTTATGTGACTCTGATTTGGGACGACCCCTGAAATATTGTGCTTAGTGTTGGCAAACTGGCGGGCGCTCAGAGAAGAGTAACAGGAAGACTCAAGGAGGGCTGTACAAACCTACCTAGTTTGACAACGGGGGCGAGGGGGAGTCCTGCGACCTCTCTCCACATATCTGAGAGATGTGACCCTCCAGGAGGGAGGGGAATTGTTCGGGGACCAGAGGGAGAGACCAGGAGGAATGGGGTCCCATTCAGAAAAGGAAAAACAGAAAGAAATGTTGGGGAAAACTTGCCGGGAGTGAGCTGAAGAGTGCAGGCCCTGCGGTGATGGGTGCTAGAGATGGACCAACCTGGCTGGGGACCTGTGTCCCAGCGTGGGGCTGGGAGCCTCACTGCTCGGGACTGACCAGAACCCTGGACAATGAAGTGCAGGGACCAAGCCTGTCTGAACAGGATCTCTCTCTGGGAGCCCCTGAGGAGCTCTGTTCTGGGGGAGCTCTGTTCTGGGAGAGGACCCTGTTCCATGACTGCTGGAGCTTATTTCCAGGATCTCTCATTGCCTAATCACCCGCGAGTGAATCCAAGGGCAGGACGGTGCTAGGAGATGGTGGGGCAGGTGCAGCAGGAGCTGGAGGGCACCTGGGAAAGGAGGAGAATAAACCTCCAGGCTGAGAATCTGGAACAGCTCCTTCCTTGGAGCCTGCGGAGCCTGCACCTCCGGAGATGGAAAGATGCTCCGTTCCTGTGAGTCTAGCAGGGCAAGACAGGAGCGCCTGACCCATGCAGGGCTGCTCCCAGCTCCCTGGGCCTCGATAGCCAGAGAGGCAGCTGCTCTCTGTAGAAATATTGACAAATACATTAAAATAACTAACCCTCTCTAGTGCTCGTCTGGGGACACCGGGAACGTGCCCCTGGCCCACAGCCTGAGCTGTCAAGCCTGTCTGGAGACAGGAGTGCGGCTTGCTTGCAGATGGGGCTGCGACATGCTAATGTAATTGGGTCTGTGCTAATGGGTGTTAATGTGAGCCCCGTTCTGCACACCCCGCTGAGGGGTGTCAGCTTCCAGCATAAATCCAAGTGTGGCAGGCTCAGGGATTCGCAGGTCCTTGAAATCCCAACGGTGGGGCGCGTCACAGCTTGGTTTAGGGGTGCTGGCTGGGGGGGGGGGGCTGACTTCTCCAATCCCAAGAGCGGGGCATGTCAGAGCTCAGTGTACGGGTGCTGGCCACTGGGGGGGCCGTGCCTGGCTTCTCCAGTGCCAGCCTCTCCCAGCAGGAGGCGCTGTGGGTGCAGGGCGGGAGCACTGATTCTTAGATTTTTGTAGGCTGACCTCCTGCATAGCATGGGCAAGGGAACCTCACCCAGTGACTCTGGCCGTGGAGGGAATTATTCCTGCCTGCTCTGTAATTAACACTGCGAGCCCAATAACCTGCAGTGGAACTGGCTGTGTGGGAGGCACCCAGCTGCTGCTCCAGTCTCTTCCATTTCCCAGTCCCTGGGGCAGGAGCTGGTCTGGGTGCCCATAAGTGGGCTGTGCCAGGAGCTGCAGTAGCAGGGCTGGTGTGTGTCTCTGGGGCATGCAGGGAGAGTGCCGAGAAAGAAGCTGCTGGATTCCAGGACTATGATCCTGAAAGTTCTCAGTGAGGCTGTGACAGGATCCGCCCCAGCCCACCTCCTAGTCCAGACTTTGCTCTTATTTGGTGATTCCCTGAGCCAGTGGGAGGGAGCTGGCTGGCGTCCCAGGGTGTGGCTAGAGCAGAGGCCACTTAGCAGAGCAGCTGCTCAAAGAACTGTCTCTCTGGCCCCTGAACCTGCCCTACTCCTGACAGCCAGGCCCTGACTCCCTGCCCTGTCCTGCGGCTGGTGTGAAAGTGCTATGCTTGCAGCCGGGCTCTGCACAGGCCTTGCTTGCACGGCTGAGGACCAGGGGTGACTAATGCGTGAGCGAGTGGAGCCAAGGCTCTGGGTTGTACCCTGAGGTAAATGAGCCGAGCTCAGCCCCAGGCAGGGTACAGTGCAACCGGGACAGCTCACCTGCCTGTTACCCTGCAAGGAAAACAGACTTCTCAGCAGTGAAGACATAGGCCCTGCTGGGGTCCCTCAAGCGCTGGCTTGGGTCAGCGGCTGGGCTCAGCTGTTGCATATGGAGCCCAGGAATCCTTGTGCTGGCTGAGCTCTTTAAATGCAGGCGTGAAGTGCAGCTGAGCTGCCTGCTGTCTGTCGCTGTTCATTAAGGAGGGATTGAGTGTAATTCCAGGAGGGCTCCCCTTGTAACGGATCAGACCATGTCCCAGAGCATGGGACACCAGGGCATACCCCCTGACACCAGATAGCATCAGTGATGCACTCCAAGACAACCAGGGATGAAGATAGCAAATGTGTCTGAGCACTGGGGAGCTGTGTGTGTGATTTCTTATATCCTGCGCAGAGTAGAGACCGAGGCTGCAGACATGAAATCCGCAGGTCTGTCCAAGGGGCTTGTAGATCCCAGGCAATGGGGTGGATGGTATCAGGACCCTGGGGCTTGGAGACCCTTTCCCATGGAGATGTGGTCCAAGCACGGGCAGAAGCTCAAGTCGTTCATATCTGGCTGCTGACCCTAAAGGCCCAGCTGTGCTGTAGGAGTCATTGCATGCAGCAGGCTGTCATGTGGTTCACATCCGCAGGCCCCGTGGTTCCTGCGTGTCACGGGGTTCTACTTCAGTTGTTCCACAGTGCAGGGATGCTGAAATAGTGCTGGAACCTGGGGCAAATGGGGCTTAAACCTCCCAGACAACCTTCCCTTCCATTGGCATTTGGAGCAGCCACGCACCTTGGCTCTGGCTCTTGGACTTGATGCATTGCAGCCGACCAGGATCATCCAAGGGTGCACAGCTCCCAGCGAGAAATGAATGCGAAGTGTCTGAGAACCCCCATGGGGCTGCAGTCTCAGCAGCCCCTCTAATGGCTAAGGTCAGAGCCCCTGGTCGGATGGGGAGGCCCTGCAATGATTTCATAGGGCCCAGGAGGACCCTCCAGGCCAGAGATCTGACCCGGTGACTCCTGCATTCAGCCCCTCCCTTGTGGGCAAGCTAGAGACCTTTCAGAAAGATACTAGCGATAGCAGCCTGGATGAGGGGAAGGAGGTGCTGCTTCTTCCAGGAGCTCCCTTGATGTGTCTCCCTTCTTCTGCGCCTGGGCCTTCATTCCAGTCTCCCCGGCTCGGGCTTTGCTCCTCTCTTACACATCACAAACCCTGACTCATGGACATACGTTTATGGGAAACTTTGTTCTCGCCACTTCCTGGCTCCCCCTTCCTACACCCCCCAGGGCCTCAGTGCTGTGCGCAGGACCCACCAGGGGGCAGGAAGGAGCCCTCCCAATTTCCCAGCCCCCTGACTCCATGGAGAGCAGAAGTAGGGTCCGGAAACCATGCCCATGGCTACAGCAGTGGCAAATGCAAAAAGGGGCCTCTCTGCTCAGCCCCACCTGAAAGAGACAGAGCAAACGCCTACAGCAGAGCCCCTGCTTGGGCACTCCTCTCTGGGCTCTGCAGGCCAAGCTGCTCCCCAGGACACACAGGCACCCAGAGCAGGCGCTTGTGGGCCCACCCCGCTGCAATGCTCTCTGGGCGTGGGGAAGGTGAGGGCTGGTTCCCTGGGGGAGGGAGGGGAGCCCCGCAGCTGCAGTGGGAAAAGCAGCTTGGATACCTGGTGCTGCCTCTTTAAGAGGAGGGAAGTATGCAAGCTCTGACACTGGGTTTCCTGAGGAGGAGATGCAGGAGAGGGGGAGGAGGAGCAGGAAAGGGGATGAAGGCAGGGAGGGGAGAGCTCGCATCCTGAGCTCTTCCTGCTGGAGCGGGAGTGGTAGTCCCACAAAGGGCTGAAGCACAGTGTGCTGGGGAGGCTGCCGCGGAGCTGTCACCGGCAGAGTCAGTGACCCAGCGAGCTCAGGCTGGAGCAGGGAGCTGGCTAGGGACAGCCAGCAGGACCCAGTGGGTTGGAACCAGGCTGCATTGGAGCTCAGACTGTGCCCCAGGCCACAGACCCTGCCCCAGGCAAGCCGGGGACGCCTCTGTCCTGCTCAGGTCCCCAAGCAGCACCCTCAGGCCTCATTCCTTGGGCGTGGCCCCGGGGTGGACGATGGCCGGGAGCACCTCCATTGATGCGGTGAAGAAGAAGATCCAGAGCCTGCAGCAGGTGGCGGACGAGGCTGAGGAGCGTGCGGAGCATCTGCAGAGGGAGGTGGATGCTGAGAGACAGGCCAGGGAGCGGGTAAGGCGGTCCAGGGCTTGAAGGTCCCAGCCAGCTCCTCCCAATGCCCTTCCTGCCCCACTCCCCCAGAGGCCTGGGTGCCAGCCTGGGTTTGACGTCCCCTCCGCTCCCTGTGGTGTCAGGGCCTGGCAGGCCCAGTCAGCCCCACCCCAAGCCCTGCTGGGCTCACCGGGCACCCTTCTTGCCTGATGCTGGACTCCCCATCCAGGGAGCTTCTCCTTGCACTCACACCCCGTCTGGCCCAATCCCAGCATCCCACCACCCGCCTGTCCCCCTGCTCTCCTTGTCTCCCGCAAGTAATACCGCCCCCCCCAGACTCTGTGTGGTGACCCCAGCCATGGGCACTGCAGTGTCTGCAGTGATCAGACCCAGGCTGCCAAGGGTTACCCTGGCTGTGCAATGGGCCCAGGAGCCCCCAGCATGCATGGATTCAATTCTCCGGGTACCGATGCAAACAAGGCCCCCCAGCAGGGATCACACCTGCCTCAGGGCTCCGGGGTGGGGGCTGAAGGGTTTCAGAGCCAGCCAGAGTCTGAGGCAGCACTGGAGGTTTCTCCGTTCATCCCTCACGGGAGGGTGGGGCAGACCAAGAGGAAAAGAAAAGGGCAGCCAGGCGCTCAGATCCACTTACTCCCAACTTCTTCAGCCAGGGCTCTCCTCACCTGCTCCAGGCAGAACGAACCAGCCGCCGGGGCAGCAGGCTGTAGGGCCTGAGCTGCAGCAGGGAGAGCTGGGATGGGGGTCTGGGATGGACCCAGTGAGGGGCCGGGGTGTACACTGCTGGGGTTTAGCTGGGGAAGGCGGGGAGCAGACTGGGTCAAGGATGCAGCCAGGGAAAGGTTAGGACTCGGGGGGAGGGGTCTGGGAAGTAGCTGGGAGATGGGGCCTGGTGCTGTAATTCAGGCCTGGGGGTTATATAGAGTTGGGGGTAGGGGGATTTTCCCCATGGGCTGGTCCCAGGTGTGTGGTCTAGTAGGTGGGTATCCGGTGCCTGTCCCTGTGGTGATGCCAGGGCAGGGCAACAGCCAAGAATGACCCAAGTGCCGGACTCATGGCACTCTGGATGCAGTTGGCTGCCAGGAAAGCCCATCCCCATCCATGTGCCCCCTGACCTGGCTGTGGGTTTAGCAGGCCCTGTGAGGCTCAGTTTCTCTGTCCAGCTACGGGCTGCGCCTGCATCTCGGACAGTGGCCAGACCCAGCTGGGAAAGTGCCCCCCAGTAGGGATGAAGCCCTTCTTGCACCCTGGGTGCTTCTGGGGTCCCCATCACTGTGGCGTCAGTTTCAGGCCTACCGCTGGCTGCCCCAACTGACCATCCTGGCGGACTGGGTGCCCATTCTGGCAGCTTTGACTCACTGCCTAGGCCTTGCACCACGCGCTCACCTCAGTCAGTTGCTGAGCCCCGAGTCCAGAATTGGCCATGCTCTGGTCTGGCTGGAGGTACAGCGGGCTCTCTGTCGGGGAGGGAACATCTCCTGCTCCAGGCCTCAGCCTCAGCCTCTGCTGTCCTGGCCCCGCCGGGATGGTACACAGGATGCAGAGCTGTGTCCCCATCTACCCCTCCCTCCCTCCGGGCTCACTGTGGCTTCCCCTTGCCCTGGAGCAGAGGAGGTGAGGGGAAGAGCCGGAGGCATTGCTGGTGGGAGTGGGGGCTGGATGATTGGCAATGACGTGGGGTGGGTGCAGGAGTTTCTCCCTTGCTGCGCCGCACCTGTGCAGCCCTGATTAACCCAAGCTGACCCGACCGGCTCTCGGTGCCGACTGGCTCCCAGGGTTCAGGGCAGCCCAAGGGACAGTCCCACTGTGCTCCCCGGTGGAGTCACAGCCAGTTACTTGAGCAGGGATTCGAGAGGCCCTGGGAGCTGGCTCATTGCCCTGTGGGGCTGGGGACAGGCAGTGGGCAGTGCTGGGCCGCCTAAGGGGGGCAAGGGGCAGGCAGCTCTGAAAGCCTGTCGGGCTGGATCTGGCCTGGGAAGCTGTCCTCGAACGCTGGTGTAACTGCCTGACCCGGCCCTGAGTCGGGTGGGAGTGGAGCTCCAGAAGCACATGATCCCATCCAGGGCTCTGTGCTCGACCCAGATCAGTTAGGCCTCGTCCCTGGGAATGGCAGTAGGCTTGGTGGCCAGCTCTGTCGCTTCACAGCAAGGGACAGATCGGCCGCCCTTGCTGACACTGCTGGTTCTCCCAGCAGCCTTCGACTCCACCGCCCCCTCCGTGCTGCACTCAGCTGTAGGGACGAGCCATGGGGGAAGGGGTAGCTTGGGACTGGTTCTGCTCAGAAAGACCCCCAAGGATCCAAAAAGCACTAGCTGGCCTAGGCCCCAGTGATCTCAGAGGCCCCCTCTCTTGCAGGGACTTGCAGGAGGGGTGTCGACCATTCTTGGGGTGGCGTCCTTGCCTCTGGGATTCTCACCAATGGAAATATGTGTGTGGCCAAGCCTGGCCACTTCCAAAGCAGGCTGTGAGACGCAGGTGTCCAGGCCTCCGCTGGCTGCAAGCGCCCTCCCTAGCCCTGCCCTGTAGCTGAGTGCTGGCGGGGGAGGGGGTGCGGAAAAGGCACTCCATCTGTAATGCCCTCCCGGATGCCAGAGCGACAGGTGCCTCAAATATTTCCATGGTATCCCCACTGCTGGGGAGTGCAGGGCTGCCTGCCAGGAGAGGGGTTAGACTCAGACACTCAGAGATGTGGGGACCCAAAGAGGCCATTATGAGCACAGGCCAGAGAATGTCACCCAGTGATTGCCACCTCCAGCCCATCCGTTCCAGTGGGGTAGGTCTGGGAGAGAGAACCCAGAATCCACCGAGCCCTTACTGTTAAAAACTGCAGCTTAGTTCTAGTCTGAATGTGTCTCATTTCAGCTGCCAGCCACTGGCTCTCCCTCTGCCTTTATCTGTCAGGTGCAGGAGCCCTGTGCTACCAGGCAGCCCTTCCCCATGTAGGTAGCTGTAGAACATCGTCAAGTCACCTCTTGACTTTCTCTTAGATTGAGCTTCTTCAGTCTCTCGCTGTAGGGCTAGCTTTCCTGACCTCGCATCATCCTTGTAACTTTGTTCTGAACCCTTCCAGTTTGTCAGCAAAGTGTGGCCCCCGAAACTGACCATGGGATCCAGGAATGGTCTCGCTAATGCCACCTCCCTACTCCCTTTGCTAGCCCTTGCTTATACATCCAGGGATTGCCGTAGCCTTTTTCGCCACAGCATCACATGGGGAGCTCGTGTTCCCAGAGGAAGTCTGGATAATCAGGAGTCTGGCCTGCTTCAGTCCATACCAGAGAGGCCTTCTTCAGGGAAGCTGCTCCTGCCATAAGTAGCATGAGGAGGAGAGGAGAGGAGAGGAGAAAGCCCTATAGGTGGGTTAGAGAGAGAGCCCTATAGGTGGGTTACGGGTGTCTTGGGCAGAGTCCCCTGGGAGGGGGTCCCAGCAGGGAACTTCACATGCAGGACTGGGCCTTGCTGATCTGATCTGACTCTGGGAGGAGTTCAGTTGGGCAGAGGAGGGCATTCCCTGGCTGGGTGCGGCTGGGCTAGAGGCTGCTTTCCTGGGGCGGCACTAGCAGGCCCAAGTGCTCCTGTTCCTGGCTGTGTTGTTGGGATCGTGTACCTGAGGCTGGGTGGAGCAGACTCTGCCAGGAGCTTCCTGGGCAGGGTGCCCTGCAGGGAGCTTTCCTATTGTTCCCGCAGCCCCAGTCTGCTCACGCTGTGGTGCTCATTGGCTGCAGGGGAAGCCGGGCTGCCCTGCCCAGTAACATGATCTCTAGGAGAGAGCCTGGCAGGTCACTCCAGCGCTGGGCCTGGCTGAGGTCCAGGAGCCACCGGAAACTCTCAATAGAGCAGTTGCGCTGCGTGGCTTCCTGCCCTGACTCCAGGAGGGAAGGGACCTGGGACCTCGGTTTGGAAGGGCCCAGTCCTGGCTTGCGCGTCCCAAGGGCTGAACCTGGCCAGGTGGAGGTGGGGGGTGGGGGTGGGGAGGTTGTCTCCTCTGATCTCCCTACTAGTGTGTGCTAAGTCCTGCCCTGTTCCTGGCTTCCTCTGTTCTATGACCATGCTGCAGGGAAACCCTGGCATGCCGGGGAGCGAGCATGGCTGGAGGGGAAGGGGGCCCCAATCGGGAGAAGGGGGCTCTGCCCACCCCCTGAGTCCCTGTAACCAACATAGGCCAAGTACATTATTGCAGGCCCTGTGGGGTCAGGTAGCTTTCTGTGGCCTGGCTAACACCTTCTGCTGGTGCTGGGGGGCCCCACTGGAGCCCCATCACTGCTGTGCCTTGTGCCAGGCAGGGACTGTTCTTTGGGAGCCTTCCCAGCCCTTGTGGCATGATGTGGAGCCAGCGAACCCAGCCCAGACCCCAGCATGGCAGCACAGTGCTCCAGGGGGAGAGGGTTGCGGTAGGAGAGCAGGCCACTGTGGTCTCCCTGGGGCCTTCTGCCCAAAGCCCCTTCTAAAGCCAATCCCACCCCCTTTCTCTGCTGCCTTGGTGTCTGGCCGGGGAGGAGGTGGCATTGTGGAGTTACAGCCAGCGAAGGGCAGGTCTGGGTCTGGCTGTAACTGGGGAGGGGGCAAGGTCCCTGGGGGGTTTGTCTGTCCCTGAGGGCAGAGCTGCTGGAACACTTTGCATAGTGTGGGTGCTGAGAGCCATTGGTCCAAACTGTAATCCTGTATGGATGGAAACCACTTCAAGCTGGGGGTGTGCCCCCCCCAGCACCCCTAGTTCCAGCACCCCTGTGGACATGGGAGGCCAGGGAAGGGGACATAGGGCAGGGTCATGATGGCATGAGGGGGTGTACCTAACTCTGTAGGCTCACCCCTGTTCTGTGTGCTCTGCTTTCTGGGTCCTGGTGCACAGATCCCAGCCTCCTGGGCAGGGCACTCAGTAGCCAGTGCTGGGGTGACGGAGCCTGGTGGCCTGTGCCCTGGGGGGTGCTGAGTAGCACTGAGCCACGCTCTCCTCTCCCCGCAGAGTTCAGCGCTTGGGGGCTGCTGCACCCGCTGGAGGCATTTCCGGGGCAGAGCTCAGGCCTCCGAGAGTAGGAGCAAGGCGAGAGTTACCAAATGGAAAGAAAAGCTGGTCAGATGCTGGAGGGGGGGAGGGGGGAGTGGTATGGAGCTGGGGGAGCTAGCGTGGGGCTGGGGAGCTGGCATATGGCATGGGAGGCTGGTGCGGGGCTGGGGGGGGTCTGTCCATGGGGCCGGCAGGGATCTGTCTCCCAGTCCACGCCCTGGCTCCCGCTGCAGGAGTGTGCCTGTACTCCCCACAAGAGCTCTCTCTGGCCTCTCTTCCCCCCCCCCCACTGCCCATGCTCTCATCCCACTCCCCGCCCCGCCCCACCCCAGTCTCCTCTGCCCTGGCTCGCCTACCCCCTTCCCTTCACCCCAGGGAACCCAGCCTGTGGGGAAGGGGTGGTGCTTGGAGCCTGGGAATATGCTGGTTTCTGGCCTTTGGGGCTCCTTGCAGCCTGGCCTTGGCTGTGGGCCAGCCCCATGGAGGCGCTTTGCCGGATTCCGTCCCTGGGGACTGTAAATCAGGGAGGGCTCAGGCCTGGCCCAGCTCTGCCCCCCAGGCTGAGGAGCCCAGCCAACCTCCGGCCAGAGGTGGCAGAGAGTGACCGGGGCCCCGAGGGCATCCGCAGGCCCCCCAGCCTCGAGGTCCCCTCCCCAGCCTGGCCAGTGCTGCCTCCGGCAGCCGGGGGGGGGAGGGGACCCTGCACGGGCAGCCTTGCTGGCTTCAGTAAACAGGAAACCCACAAGTTGTTCCAATCTCCTTTTTGGGAGCGAATCTGTGCCGGGCATTCCTGCTCCTTTACTCAGCGCTCTGCAAACCCAAACGCTGCCCCGCGCCACCCTGCCGGGGAAGAGTGCCACCTCCCTCGCTGGGCTCAGGGGGCCGGTGGGGGCCAGCCAGGACTGACCGGGCTGGGCTCTGGCTCACAGGGGCGTGTGGGGGGCTCCTGGGCTGTGTCTGCCCTGCAGCGGGGAGCCAGCCTCCGAGCCTGGGACAGTCGTGTGCTGGTGGGGCCCGAGGTCGGGCACTAAACAAGCAGTGTGGAGACTGCGGCCCCCTGAGCTCAGAGCCAACATCGGCCGGGCGTGAAGGCCCTGCTCGCACAAGTCTGTCTGCCCAGGCTGGCATGCTGACCGGACTGGGCTTTGGCTTGGGGTTGGGGGGGGTGTCTGTCTGTCCATCCATCCATCTGTCTATCCGTTCTTAGGACGGTGCTGGACTCTGGGAGCACTGGCACCGACTCTGGGGTGCTTTGGGGCTGGAGCACCCACGGAAAAAAAATAGAGGGTGCTCAGCACCCGCCAGCGCCAATCAGTGGTTTGGCAGCACCTCTGATGAGCTAATCAGGAGCGCTGCCAAACAGCTGTTTGATGGCTGGGGGAGAGGCTTGGGGGAGGGCGGAGAGCAGTGAGCAGCAGGTGGGTGGGGCCTCGGGGTGGAGCAGGGGCAGGAAGAGGCGAAGTGAGGACGGGGCCTTGGGGCGGAGCAGGGATGGAGAGTGCCCCCCCCCACACACACACCCGGGAAAACTAGAAGTCAGCGCCTATGTCTGGGAGGACGGTGCAGGGTCCACTGGGGGCAGTTCCTTGGGGCTGAGCTGGACTCTGGGGAGAGGTGCAGGATTCACTGGACTCAGGCGCTGGCTAGATTGTGTGGTCCAAAACCCAGATGAGATGTCAGGAATACAGAATAGGATGGAGAGTAAGATGGAGAATTTTGAATGGTTTTATGTAAATCAATGGTTTGGCCTCCCTTGGGCACCCTGTCTCAGAAAGGATATTGCAGAATTAGAAGGGTTCAGAGAAGGGCGATGAGAATGATCAGGGGCCTGGAAAAACTCCTGTGAGCGGGAGAGTGCACTGATCAAGATTGTGAGTTAGAGAGACAAATAAGAGGGGGACATGACAAAAGCATCTAAAACAATCAATGGTCTAGAGCAGGCGTTCTCAAACTGGGGGGTGTAACCTCTCAGGGGCTCGCGAGGTTATTATGTGGGGGTCATGAGCTGTCAGCATCCACCCCCAAACCCCGCTTTGCCTCCAGCATTTATAACAGTGTTAAATATTTTAAAAGTGTTTTTAATTTATAAGGGGGGTCGGACTCAGAGGCTTGCTGTGTGAAAGGAGTCACCAATACAAAAATTTGAGAACCGCTGATCTAGAGAATGTAGATTGGGAACTTCTGCTATCCCTGAACCCAGGGTCAGTGAAAGAAATTTAAAGGTGGCAAATTAAAAAGTAACAGAAGGAAATGCTTTGTCACACAATTCATAATTATCCTGTGGAACTCACTGCCACAAGACATTCGGGCCAAAATTTAGCCCAATTCAAAGAAGGATTGGATCCTTATATAGATAAGAATATCCAGGGCTATCCTAGTTACTGCTACCATAAATTCTGGCAAGTATACTCAACCTCGTGCTTCAGGGGCTTGAGCCAATCTCAAAGAATTCGAGACCAGGACAAGATTTGGTGTGGGGGCAGATTATTCCACCTCTCCCTACTGTGGGCATCTTGCACGAACCTTTGAAGCATCTGATGCTGGCCCCTCTCAGAGGCCGGCGGTTGTGCAGGATGGACCCCTGGCTGATCCAGGCAGTGATTCCTGTGGCCTCTGTGCAGGGTCCCAGTGCTGAGGGGCTCACGCACTTTCAGTGGCTCTCGGCCCTTTTCCAGCTCTGGGGTGGGACTGACTCTGGTGCTGCTTCTCCCTCAGGCTGAGTCTGATGTGGCCTCCCTGAACCGCCGTATCCAGCTGGTGGAAGAGGAGCTGGACCGAGCCCAGGAGCGCCTGGCCACTGCGCTGCAGAAACTGGAGGAGGCTGAGAAAGCAGCTGATGAGAGCGAGAGGTGTGTGGTTGGTGGGAAGGGAGGAGTATGGAGGGGGATGTGGCTTGGCAGCTGCGGGGGGAGGGCACGAGTTGGCCTGGATGTGGCCGCTTGCCCCCATGGGATTGCTCCGGGATTGCTCCAACCCCCCCGTCCCATGGAAGTGGGGTCCTGCTGGTGTCACAGACAGCAACGGGCAGCTGGGCCCCATGCTAAGTCCCATGTCAGGGCGAGATGGGGGCAGGAGCGGTGGATGCGCCCTGAAGGTGGAGGGCCCACAGGCACTCTTCTCACAAGGCCCCGCCCCTTCCCACAAGGCCCCGCTCCCATGCCGCCTCTTGCCCCCAACACCCCGCTTGCTCTTCTCCACTCCTTTTGGCCTCCTCCCCCGTCTCTCGCTCTTAGGGGAAGTGCATAGCCCTCCCACTTTTAAAAGTGCAGGGGCCATGGCCCCCTAGCTGCCCCTTTTGGCATCCCTGGACGGGGGCAGTTTGGGGCAGGAGATCAGGCTGCAGATAAGATTGCAGCACGACAGCAGCCTGCCCGAGGCCGGCTGTGCTCTCGGTTGCCATGAGCGGTATGTTGGACAGTTGAAAGTGCCAGTTACTGCTCTCAAACAGGGGCATCTCCGGCCTCTTCTCTCTTGCTCGGCAGGGTCACGTGGCCCCTGGAGCAGGCTCAGCTTGTGCCAGCACTAAGATTTCATGGGGCTTTTCAAAAGCTAGGGTCTAGCTCTCTAGACTTCAAGTATCACAGCGACTGGGACGGGAGCTCTGGGAGGTGTGAACTGCCCCGCATGCTGGGGACCTCACCAAGGTGTTGACTCTAAAGCCTAACGATAACACTTTTGCAATGTCCTCATTAATTAGTCAGTTGCTAATCGTTTGGCCTTCAGGAGGGGGCAGAAGGGAGATAATGCGGAGACACACACACAAAGGTAGTGAAAGGGAGCGGATGGCAAACGTGGCTGGGGAAGGGAGACGCAGAGGACAGAAACAGCTCCCAGAAATGGTCCTGAAGGGGAGCGTGTTCCCGCTGGGTGATGCTGGTTGTGGCTGTAAGGTGCTGAGCAGATAACAAATAGAGTTTCCCCCATGCTCTATGCAAATTCTTAGTGACCCCTGAGTGGGCTCCGCCATTCATGGCGGAGTGTCTAGAGTTCAGAATATATACCCAGCCTGCGGGCCATAATTAAAAGGGGACTTAGGCCTTCCCCAGGGAGCAAGTGACAGTCCTGCTCTAGGTGATATTTGTTGTCTCAGGCAGGGCTCATCAGCCCTGAAACTCTTTCTTTCCCCACGCTGACTGCTGAGGTCTCTGGGCACCTTCCAGCTGCGCGTTAAGGCCTGTGGCTAACATCTGTCACGCGTGCCTGTCCTCTCCCCAGGTGAGGACCCAGTTGTGCAGTGCAGGGCTTGATTTTGGTAGGGCTATTAGGTTTTTTGAACACGTCCATGCTGCCCAGTGTCTGTGTCAGCAAAGGAGAGCTGGAAAAGCACACTGGCCCTGGGACTGGAAGGTGGGGAGTTTGTGATGGTACTAGGCCCCTGAGGGAGTTCTTTTCACAGTCTCAGCTGGTCCCAGAAAGCTCTGTCTCGCATCCAGATGCACTGTTGCCTCCAGGGGGAGAGTCCCATTGTGCCAAGGAGCAGAATTGGTGATCAGGGCTTCGTCCTGGAGCTTTAGGTCCTTTTAGATATGCTGGACCCAGGCCATTGAGCATCTTGGAAATAAGGACCAAAGCCGGACTCTCTCTTCTATGGGAAACCAGTGTGGAGAGCAGGGAACTGGTCAGATGTACAAATTCAGCACTAGTGTAGCGCAGGGTAGTCTCCTGGAAAGCCCAGTAGTCTGCCCTGTCCTCTAGAAGCCACCAGTCAACGCTGAAGACCTCTCCAGCCTCCTGTTCCATGGTAAAATAATCAAGGCTCCAACATGCACCGTGATTGTGGATGCACGGGCTCCAACCAAGCTCCAACATGCGCCGTGATTGTGGATGCACGGGATTCTGGGTTCAGACTAATGCACAACACAGAGACCGCTCTAGTGGCGCTGAGAGGTTGCCTTGGGCCATGGATGCAGGTAAGGTCACCATGCTCATGCTGCCGCACTGCAGTGGACCACAGGTACTAACTCACCTACGTGACAGAGGAGCCGATGGCCCAGCACTCCAGTGGGTGATCATTCCTCTCCAGCAGAACTTGGGGAGTGGTGATGTGTAGCTCCGAAGGCTCTACCCATCACCACTCCCTATGCATCACCCGCTTAGAATAATAGAATCATAGAATATCAGGGTTGGAAGGGACCTCAGGAGGTCATCTAGTCCAACCCCTTGCTCAAAGCAGGACCAATCTGCAACTAAATCATCCCAGCCAGGGCTTTGTCAAGCCTGACCTTAAAAACTTCTAAGGAAGGAAATTCCACCACCTCCCTAGGTAACGCATTCCAGTGTTTCACCACCCTCCTAGTGAAAAAGTTTTTCCTAATATCCAACCTAAACCTCCCCCACTGCAACTTGAGACCATTGCTCCTTGTTCTGTCATCTGCTACCACTGAGAACAGTCTAGAGCCATCCTCTTTGGAACTCCCTTTCAGGTAGTTGAAAGCAGCTATCAAATCCACCCTCATTCTTCTCTTCCGCAGACTAAACAATCCTATTTCCCTCAGTCTCTCCTCATAAGTCATGTGTTTCAGTCCCCTAATCATTTTTGTTGCCCTCCACTGGATGTTTTCCAGTTTTCCCACATCCTTCTTGTAGTGTGGGGTCCAAAACTGGACACAGTACTCCAGATGAGGCCTCACCAATGTCGAATAGAGGGGAACGATCACGTCCCTCGATCTGCTGGCAATGCCTCTACACTTATACAGCCCAAAATGCCATTAGCCTTCTTGGCAACAAGGGCACACTGATGACTCCTATCCAGCTTCTCGTCCACTGTAACCCCTAGGTCCTTTTCTGCAGAACTGCTGCCTAGCCATTTGGTCCCTAGTCTGTAGCAGTGCATGGGATTCTTCCATCCTAAGTGCAGGACTCTGCACTTGTCCTTGTTGAACCTCATCAGATTTCTTTTGGCCCAGTCCTCTAATTTGTCTAGGGCCCTTTGTATCCTATCCCTACCCTCCAGCGTATCTACCTCTCCTCCCAGTTTAGGGTCATCTGCAAACTTGCTGAGGGTGCAATCCACACCATCCTCCAGATCATTTATGAAGATATTGAACAAAACCGGCCCCAGGACCGACCCTTGGGGCACTCCACTTGATACCGGCTGCCAACTAGTCATGGAGCCATTGATCACTACCCATTGAGCCCGACAATCTAGCCAGCTTTCTATCCACCTTATAGTCCATTCATCCAGCCCATACTTTAACTTGCTGGCAAGAATACTGTGGGAGACTGTGTCAAAAGCTTTACTAAAGTCAAGGAACAACACGTCCACTGCTTTCCCCTCATCCACAGAGCCGGTTATCTCCTCATAGAAGGCAATTAGATTAGTCAGGCATGACTTGCCCTTGGTGAATCCATGCTGACTGTTCCTGATCACTTTCCTCTAAGTGCGTCAGAATTGATTCCTTGAGGACCTGATCCATGAGGCCTCTCCTCAATGTCTACGTGACTCCACTGGGAGACAGAGGAAGACACCAGGGTTCAGTTGCTAACGACACTCAACTATCTACTAGTTCACCACCGATGCAGCCACCACCACGACTAAGATGTCACTCACAGTACGTCCCAGAGATCGGCTCTTGGATGGAGGGCAGTTGGCTTGCAGCTGGAGACCCCAGACAAGACCAAAGTGATGCTGTTGGAAAGATTTTGTCCCCACCTTCCATTCACCAGAGTTGTGCAAAGCCTTGGGGTCCTGTTTGACTCCTTGTTAAGTTTTGGGGGACCAGGGAGTAGCTGTCTAAAAATGCCGTATTTCACCTCCAGTTCACTAGGACTCTCTGTCCCTTCCCCCTGGCCGAGGGCCTGGGCCCGATGACCCTTGTGTCCATCACTCAAGGCTGGGTCACTGTAGCTCCCTTGGCTGCCTGCCTTCTCCATGGTCCAGGCACCGGTCTGCATTGCCCACACCAGTGAGCTGCTGATCCAAGTCGACAGACTGAGCTGGCAGGGCCTGCGTTACCTGCTAACACTAGCCGGTCGACGTGGCTCGGCTGGAGCTCGGACTCTGAAACCTAGGGTGGGGCTGGGCTTCGAGCCCACACTAGAGCCCGAGCTGCAACTTGAGAGTGTAGCAGGGGCCCCATGAGCCCGAGCTTGTCGACCTGGCTCAGAGGCTCACAGCTGAGGGCTACTGCTGGCTGTCTGCACAGGGGGCCCCTGCTCCTGTCCCTCCATGGGCTCCCAGCCCGTTTGGATGATTTGATCCTTTGCTGTAGGCTTTTGTGTACTATGTGGGGGCTATTTGGGCAGATGGGGTGTCAGGGCGGTGAGTATCACTAGTGGGGGAGAGGAGGGTGTAAGGGTGTCCTGAAGATGGTCAGACTGAATTTGCCTGATCTCCACTGGGAGGTTTTTCTGCAGCTGGCTCCCCTTGATGGAGAATGCTCTGTTCCCAGCTCTCCCAGGCTTTGGGCTGGGCTTTGTCATCTGCACTGTCCCAGAGGGGCCCATGCCCACTAGTGGTTTCGCTCTTACTACTGCCTCTGAAGGAGGCACTCAGATGCTGTGGTGATGGGTGGCAGGACAGATACCTAACACAGAGGGTGCAGAACTAGCTCTGTGTGTGAGCTAGGATGGGGCTGAAGGGGGCTGCTAGCTCAATGCTAGGAGTATCTGACTCCATGTGGCAATGATCTGAGAGGGGTGAAGGATGTGGCAGGATGGGCACTGGGATAAGTGTGAGGCTAATTCCCAAGACTGGAAGATGATCTGGAACATGGGAATGATTTAATTCACTGGGAGGGGTGGGGTGCGCAGGGCTGCAAAAAGAGAGGGCGCATGTGCCAGATTGCAGCAGGTGTGGGGCACTCTGGCGTGGGGCAGAGCCGGGACGCTCTGGCGTGGGGCAGAGCCGGGGTGTTCTAGCTTGCTGTGAGGCAAGTTGGGTGCACTAGATCATGCCTCAATTTCGGGGCAGTCTAGATCTCAGCCGTAACACTGTGGTTTGGATTTTCTTCAGAGGCATGAAAGTCATCGAGAACCGGGCCATGAAGGATGAGGAGAAAATGGAGCTCCAGGAGATGCAGCTGAAAGAGGCCAAGCACATAGCTGAGGAGGCCGACCGCAAATACGAGGAGGTGAGAACCAGCCCTTCCCAATGACCATCGTTCCTGGGGCTCCCGCTGACACCCCCAGGAGCACCCACGGCTCCGGCTGGCTCACACCGAGGATGGCCTAGTGCGTTGGAGCACTGCCTTGGGGGGGGGGGGGTGCATGCCTCTGGGGGCTGGCAGCTCCTGGCAACACCCCCGTTCGTAGGAGAGGTCCCAGGAGAATGGAGCACGAGCAAGTGGGTCCTGCTGCTGCGGCCCCTGCCCACTCTCTGCCTGCTCCCACTGTCTCTGGGGGGCATCTCCTCTGCCGGCTGCCACTGCCACCCTGGGGGGTGCCCCCCCACCCCGAGGCCTCTATCTGCAGCCACCACTGCAGTGCAGGGGGCTGCTGCCGAGCTGTGCTCCCGCAGGCGGGGCCTGCGCCAGACTGACAGTCTCTCCTCTGCCGGGCCTGCCAGGTTGCCCGTAAGCTGGTGATCATTGAGGGGGAGCTGGAGCGCTCGGAAGAAAGGGCGGAGGTTGCAGAAAGGTGAGTACTGTCTCTACCCTCCGGGCAACTGGGGGAGGGCATGGGGATGGGGTTTCTCGGGCCCCTACTTTCTGCTTCTCCCCCGGCCCCCCCAGATGAGGCTGAGCTGGGATGCAGCCCTCGGGGAGCTAAGCCGCGTAGGGCACTCAGCGGGCAGCCAGAGCCCATGGCTGGGGTGAGTCCCTTCCCTTGGTTCTCCAGCAGGGGGCGACACTGACCCCGTTAGAGGCACAGAATCCAGGTGCAGCGCCGTGAGGTTTTTATGGGGCTGACGGAGCAGGTGGCCCAATCCTAGGGGGGCCCCTGGCTCTCTGTCTCTGATCAGGCTGAATGGCAGCTGGCTCCTGCCCTGTCGCTGTCCCCTGTCCCTATGGGGCCCGGCCAGGTGGGTGGGGGTGCAAGGATTGGGAATGGTTGATCTTGTTCTCTGCTCGGTTTCCCATGGCTGAACGGTCCCCCTGGGATGCCCCCTCTCACCCCCCTAGCCGAGTGAGACAGCTGGAAGAGGAGCTGCGCACCATGGACCAAACCCTCAAATCCCTGATGGCCTCAGAGGAAGAGGTACTGGGGCAGGGAACTGGGGAGACTCGCAGCTTCCTCTCTGTCCCTCTCCGCCTCTCTGACCCTCTGGACGTGCTGTCTCCTTTCCATCATTCCTATGAGATGACTCTGAGCCCTCTCCTTCTTCCCTTGCCATCCTGTGCGGCTTTGGGTCTGGTCCTAGTTCTGGGGCTGAGACAGATGGGGCTCGATGCACTGAGGGGCTGGGGTTGGAGGCGAGCTGGGCAGCCCTTGGTCTGGCTGCTGCCTGGTTCGACCCACACCTCTCCCTGGCTGCCTGCGTCACAGGGCCACTCCTTGTGCCACAGGGTGAGCTGAGCGTTGGCCGGGGCTGGGGCCCTGCGGGCGCGAGGCAGGCCCTGGTGGGGAGTGAGACCTCTCCCACTCCCTGTCTACATCTGTCTCAGCACCGCAAGAGTCTCTGTCCCAATTACTTCCCACTGTGCTGCTTGCAGGAGGAGTTCTCGCGGTCCTGTGAGGGCCCCAGGTGGGGCTGAGCTGGCAGAGGCAAATTGGGCTGGGTGGCCCTCTCACTCTGGCATCTCTGCTCTGGACTTTTGGCCCTTATTTAGGTCCAGTTACCTGCCGAGCCTGCTCAGGCAGGTGATTCACTCTACTCCTTCGCTGCCTGGGCGCAGTCTGGGGGTCTGAGCCTGCCTCTTGCGTCCCAGCCGGACTCTCCTAGGAGCTGTCACCGGGGTAGGTCAGCAGGGATGGTGGCTTGCCTGAGGTCATGGGCCACGGGCCAGGCTGGCTGTTGCTTCCTCTCCATCTGAACTGCTGTTTCTCTCTCCTGAGCTTTTTCTCTCTCTCCTTTCCTTCATTCCTCCCACCACCCTGCACCCTTCTCTCTTCCGCGCGCCCTGGCCTGCTGGGAATAGTAAATGTGGGGACCTAGAGGAAGAGCTGAAAATTGTCACCAACAACTTGAAGTCCCTGGAGGCCCAGGCCGATAAGGTAGGAACCGGAGGAGCGCAGCACCTGGCCCTGCGGCTGGCGAGGAGCAGGGCCCGAGAAGTGAGCAGAGCAGAGTGCTGCTCTCCTGGGAGATGCCCTGGGATCTGGGCAATGGTGGGGCACCTAGGGGTGGGCCTGCCAGCCTGTCGCTATGAGAGGGACCCAGCGGGTGCTACAGGGACTGGGAAGCGACTCAGGCTTGTCTTTCTTCACAGTACTCCACCAAGGAAGATAAGTACGAGGAGGAGATCAAGCTGCTGACAGACAAACTGAAGGAGGTGAGAGATGCCCAGAATCAGGGACCCTGACAGGAGGGCAGGGCCTGGTGTAATCGCCCCATCCTCCACAGGGTGCATGGGTTTGCTGCCACCCGTCAGAGTGGGACTGGCTGTGGGCCACAGGTGCCGACTCCGTGGGTGCTCTGGGACTGGAGCACCCGGTGGGAATGATGGGTCCTGAGCACCAACCAGCAGCCCCCCATCAACTCTCCCCTCACTGGCAGGCCCCACGGATCAGCGCCTCCCCCACCTTCCCGCCGCAAACAGCTGTTTCAGTGCACTGGGGGTCGGGGGGAGAAGCGAGGCTGTGGTGTGCTCGGGGAGGGGGCCGAACTGGGCGGGAAGAGGTGGGGGTGGAGCAGGGTGCAGTAGGAGGCGAGGCGGAGGTGGGGCGTTGGGGGAGGTGGAGTGGGGGCAGGGCATGAGGCAGAGCTGGGGGTCGAGCACCCCCCCCGGCACACTGGAGAGTCGGCACCTGTTCTGTGGGCACAACCCCTGAGGTCATCCTTGACCCACTCTGAGTCTACTGCCCCGCTCCCCTGAGTGGCTAAAGCCACCATCTGCCTGGGCAGGATTCCCGGACTGTGCAGACGGCCGGCTTCCCCTGCCCCAAAACCTGAGCAGTCCCCACTGCCCTTCCCCTGCCCAGCTATGTGGTTCTGATGCACTTAAGGGGCCCCGGGGTGCTGGGGGTGGGACAGAGACAGTCATTCCTGGAGCGGAGCTGAAATTAGCAGTACAAAGGCAGATTCTGCTTTGGACAGATACATGGCTCTGAATGCTGCTGCTCCTCCAGCCATGGCCTGGGCCCCTTGTTGCAGGGCAGGAGTCACTGCAGAGCAGCTGACAGGTAGGCTAGATCTGCTGCAACTTCAGATACAAGAAAGCAGGCCAGCCGAGCCTTGCAGAAATGCTGGGGGAGTGAGTCCAACAGGAGGTTCGGCAGCTCGCCATGTCCCAGCTCCAGTAAGGGGGCCTCCATGGGGCCAAGCAGGGTAGCATCTGGCCCTCCTTTGCCTGTGGAGAGTTCTGGCCCTGAAGATGCTACCTTCTGCCCGGTTCTCCATCAGACAGTCGGTACCATAGCTAACGCCCCGTTTCCTGACCCTAGGCTGAGACCCGAGCGGAGTTTGCTGAGCGATCCGTGGCCAAGCTGGAGAAAACCATTGACGACTTAGAAGGTAGAGACCCCGCCTGCCCTTTGCCCCCCTCCCCACAGAGCACAGCCAGCCTAGGAGGCCCAGGACATGCCTCAGGGTCTGCTTAGCCGAAACCTCCGGCCGTGGGGCTGTGGCTGAGTGCTGGGATCTGGAGAGGAGGGAGGGACAGGGAGCCTGGGTGGGTCTCACAGAACGAGCTGTCCCCCAGGTGGGAATCCCAGTCTGAAGGGAGGGGAGGCAGGATCACTGTGCGATGGGCATGGGCCAGGAAGCGTCCCAGGACAAGGGGCTGGCCAGGAGCACAATAGCCAGGGAGGGAAGGAAGAGTGGCCAGGGAGCTCAGGCCGGGCCAGGAGAGTCCCTTGGTGAGAAGGGGCAAGTGAAACCCTGGAGCAATGAGGTAAGGGCAGGGGTGGGAGGAACCAGTCTGGCCTATCAGAGGCCCATGCACCTGTGTGAACCCTACCCGGCACCCTCCCATGGCAGCAAGGTCTCTCTCTCTCTCTCTCTCACATTCACTCTCTCTTTCTCCCTCCCTGCCACTGCCCTGCTCTGCTCTCTGCCACGGGCCACCCCCTGCACACCCTCCTGCCTGCAGACGAAGTGTATGCTCAGAAGATGAAGTATAAGGCAATCAGTGAGGAGCTGGACAATGCACTTAACGACATCACCTCCCTCTGAGCCCCTGAGCGGTCCCAGCACCATGGCACTCCACTCATGCTGTCTGCCCACCCCCTCCCACCCTGCCTGCTTGTGACCTCAGTCGCCATGGCTGCCCCTGCCTGCCTGCCTCCATCTATCCCTTGGTCTCTGCTCCCCACCACCTCTGTCAGTCTGTCCATTCCCCTCTTTGTCCCCGCAAGCTCCAGTGCTGCTGGGTGGCTGTAGTTTGCTCAGTGAAAGCTGCAGAAGAGGAGGGTCCCTGAGCAGGGAGCAGCCCATAACCCAGACTGGGGAGCATCCCTGGTCCGGGATCAGCCCGTCTGCAATGTGCCATGCATAAGCCTTGCTCGGGTGCTGCGTGTGGCCAGCTAGCCTGATCTGCCGAGCTGCAGCGAAGTGTCCAGTTACACAGTGGGCTGACCTCTTGCCTGGGGGTGGGGTCTGAGGATGGAAGGTGCATGGTCCCATCTCACCCCACATGCTGGGTCTCTGTCTGCTGGCCTGGGCTGATCCTCGCTCCGTGGGCATGGGCGGGGGGACGGCTGCAGATTTGGATTTCTCTCTTTCCTCAAGAGCAGTTGGTGCAGACGGTAAACTAGAGAAAAGCTCCTGTTGCAGCCCAGGAGAAGCAGCCAGGGTTCCCCAGGGTACCAGCCTTCTGGCTCCCTTCTGCCTCACCTGCTCCATGGGGCATGCTTTGTGTCAAAGGGCTGCCAAGTTCTAACACGCCCGGGGAAGATGGCAGCCGTGGGGCCAGGGGGAGGAGACAGAGGGGCGTGCCCTGGTGCAAAGGGAGCTTTACTTATGTCAGGTCCCAAGAAACGGGCACGTTTAGCCCAGCTGCTGGGAACAAGAAGGGAGTAGCTAGTGCTGGGATTGGGAGGGACAGCGTGGGCTCCACGTCCTCTGACCAAATCTGCCTGGGCTCCGCTCCCCATTGACACCCCCCTGAAGGGGATTCCCCCCAGCTGGAAGCAGCCTCTCCAAAGCTGAGGGCAGGAGGAGAGGAGAGGGTCACTCCCATGGGGTGGAAGGAAAACACGTGGGAGGCTTGGCAGCCCTTACTGCTTCCCAGTCCCTGCTCTGCATTCTTCCTGTCCTTCACACGTTACTCTTGAGTTCACATTTCATGACTTACTTTCTTTTCTGTCCTTCTGGGTCGATGCGTTGGTCTCAATAAAGCATTTTCTCTCCTTGGTTTCGCCTTTGTTTTCTTCATGCTGCTTTGGTTTTTCACCTTCACACTCATTTTCTAGCCATGTCTCATTTTCATGCCTGTACATGGCCCTTTATGGGGGGTTCTCCTGCCAGGTGTGCTCTACAGCACAGATAGCCACAGGTGCTCTGACCCTGCGGGGAAGGGCCGAGCATAAGAACCTGGACAGACCCTGTGGGAAGTCCTTGACCTCAGCCTTGCCGGTGCATCGGGGGAGGGAGAGGGACGAACGCACAGCTAGCTCCATTTGAGAGGAAAGTTCTCCTGGTCCTTGGTTCTCGGGTCCCAGCCTGAACTGAGCTAGATCCAACCCTGTCTCTCTTTCATTGCCTGGACTTGCCCCAGCGCACACACCTTTTCACAGCCCTGACCTGGCTTCATGTGTAGCTGAGTAGGGCAGCACTTTCCTTCCTGGAGGTTGATTGATTTTCCCCTTCAAAGAGCCTTATGTTTCTGGGTCAGAACTCACCCCAGTTTGTGCTACAAATCTCCCCAGCTCCTGGAACCATGTCCTCTTTCCTTCTCGAATGGCCTCCTTGCTGCACCATCCCCTAGCCAGACCAGAGCCTGCTCCCCTTCTGCCTGTAGACCTGAGTTCATTTCTCTTTCCTGCACTGGGCAGATGGGCTTCGGGACATGCGCCCCCGGGGTTCAGCTACGCTGATAGCGTCTCTGTGCTGACCTGACTTTCTCTTTGCACTAACTCTCTCCTTTCTCTCTCTCTCTCCCTCTGCTGCCGCTGACGTCTGTTTTCTATAGCGCGCTCCCAGCAGGAGGCGGAGAAAAACCGTATTCTCACTAACGAACTGCGGGTCATCCTTAACGAACTTAACAACTGAGCCAGCCTCAGCCCATGCCCTGCTTATGTCATGTAGCCTGTGTCTCCTGGGGTGTTCCAGCCCCATCGCCCGCCCCCTCCATTGCCCAGGACATTCCCTGCAGCTCTGAGTCCTGGTAACAGGTTCCACCAGGCCAGCTGGGCCTGGGGAGTCCCTGCCCTCACCCTGCTGCTGGGTACTTGGCACATGGACCCTCACCCCCTGGCCTTACAGTTCAGAGTGACCAGCCTGCTCTGAACAGCTGGAGACTCCTGCCTCCTGAGCTGGTTGATTTTGCCCAGGGGGGAGCCTGCTGCCATCATGACCCAGAGCCCCCACCTTCCCCACAGGGGCACTGCTGAGCCAGCACCAGCTGCCCAGGCTGGGGAGGGAGTGCCCATGTGATGGGCTGAGCCACCTGAACCCTGCCTACTCCCTCCCTACATTGTAGTGCTCCCCAAGGCAAGGGGACAGCCAGCCCCCCACCGGCTCTACCAGGAAACCACTCTTCCTAAACCACTCAACTGCTGCAGGCAAAGGCTGTCTGGATACTGCTCTTGCAGGTCATAGAATCATAGAATATCAGGGTTGGAAGGGACCCCAGAAGGTCATCTAGTCCAACCCCCTGCTCGAAGCAGGACCAATTCCCAGTTAAATCCAGCTTCTCCAGCTCCAGGAACTGTAAGGAACAGGGTGGGAGTCCAGCTATTCCGGCCCCAGCCTCTCCCAGCAGGTGCTCTAGGCAGCAGGGCAGCGGCTTTGGCTGCAGGTGGACCTCATGGAAACGCCTGTCCCAGCAAAGGCTCCGGTAGGCAGCAGGACAGAGGCTCTGGAAGGGTGAGCTCCCAGCTGAGGGTGTCATGGCAAGTCTCATTCCAGCGGAAGTGATGTAGGGGACAGCGCAGAAGCGCTGGCTGTGGGCAGGTTCCCCTGTAGCATGTTCTGTACACGAGGGCTGGAAGAACTGGCTCCTGCAGTTTCGTTAGTGCTGGTCTCTCTTCCCTCTGTGCTGTCCTCTCTCCTCCTGAGCTGCTGCCTTGCCACTGCTCCATGGATCACCACTCCCAGTTGAATCACGGAGCAGCTGGGCAGTGCTATGCACCTTTCATCGGTCCGTGGGCAGGACTCTCTGGGGATGGACCTGGCTCTGCTGGAAGCACATGGCTGTGGAAATGGGGCTGTGCCATCTGACAGCCCCATGTGCAGTAGCACCCTGCAGGGAGCACAGGCAGAAGCCGTGGGTGTGAAGTTAGGCTGCCAGAATCTGATTGGTCTAAGCACCCTACCTGGCCTCTGAGCTATTGCTGCTCTGTGAGGTCGGGCCGTGTCCCTGGTAAGGCCTTGGCTTGGAGCTGGGGTACGTTATGGTGCTGTGTGGAAATGCTGTTCCCCAGCGACACTGAAATGTCCATTTGTGTCTGTGTGTCTGGGTTTGATCCTGTCTGGCTCGGTCTGTCTGTCCCTGTGTATGGATGGGTCTGTCTCCGTGTGTCTTGGCTTGGTCTGTCTGGGCGGGTGGCTCGGTTGGTCTGTCCCTGAGCATGGGTGGGCCTGTCTCCTTGCGTGTCTGTCTGTGTGTGATTTGTGTCCGTTTTTCTGTCCATCCGTGTGGCTGATCACGTGTGGCTGGCATCTGCGTTTGTCTGTCTGGATGTGTGTCTGGATGTCCTTTGTGTTTACAGAGAATCTGGCCAGTGCCAAAGAGGAGAACGTTGGCATTCACCAAGTTCTAGACCAGACCCTGCTGGAGCTGAACAACCTCTGAGCCGCTTGAAGAGCCCCACTCTATCCACCTGCCCCTGCACCTGAACCCCATTGGCACCCTCTGGAGGCACCAAGTGAACTGCGTCATGGCCAAAGCCACACATCCATGAGAAGGGAAACCCTGCGGCCCATACCCTGGCCCTGGGGCATCTTGTCTGTGCACAGCCAGATCGGCTCTGTCCTGTCTTCATGTCCAAATATTAAAGCAAGTTTAACAAGATAGACAGATGTGTCTGGTCCTTAGCCAAGGGGGGTCAGGGGTGGGGAGAAGCTGCCCACAGCTGGGAGCCTCTGCGCCCCCCTCCCCAGCTCATTTCAGTGGGGCTCTTGGCCTGACTGGGTAGACAGATCTTGCCAAAGTATAGGAGCCAGCCCCCTCCAGTCTCTGTTGCTGAGGGGAGGGGGGGACTTGCCCACATCAGGGCTTTCCTGTCTTTGGGGTTTGATCTCCTGCGTCAATTTGTCATTGCTGCCTGTCCCTGCTCTAGAGCAGGCACCTCCATAGCACGGAGCCATCTCTCTCCATCTCCCAAAGGCAGGGAGTTTTTCCTTCTCACTCTGAAGAGACATCACTTCGGATTCCTGGTAGTTTGAGGAAATAAATTTATCTTGTTCCGTCACATCTGGGACATTGAGCTAGAATCTCTCTGTCCCCTTGGCTGCCCTGTCGCTCCTCGCTTGTTGTGCTTTGTGCCTCCCCAGCCCACCCCAGTGCACAGTCTCTGAGTCTGGATTTGCTGAGAGGCTGCCAGAATTCTGCAGGTCTGTGCTTTCACGATCATTCTGTGCAGGGAGCTGGAGCCAGTGTGACACTTTTCAGGGTTAATGAAGGTGTCCAGGGTGACTTGCTACCACCTGCTTATGGTGTGAGGGCATCTTGTCTGTGTCCACCAGGGGAAGTTCTCCCAAAGCTACCGGCTGCAGGCAATACAGGTGATCCACTCTGGGATACTGCAAGCCCCACTCTTTCCTGCTGCAAGCTAGCAATTTACCCAGCCCACCTTGTTACAGTCACATGCTCACTTCCTTGTCTTCTGGACACCTGCAATGTCCACCGATCCACTGCCTCTGTGGAAGCAGGGCAGCCCAGGTCACAGGCTTCACCCAGTTCGACACATGCCTTAGCACAGAGCTCTGGGGCGTGGCTCTAGTAAAACAAATTTGAAGTTTATTTAATGGAGCTTGAGATAAAGATTCAAATAAAAGTAAGTAAAAGGCTTTGGAAACATAAGGTTACAGGTAAAAGAAAAGCAATAAAATCCAGTCTGTGGCCTTTACTTATTAACAAGTGCCTGTCCTGTCTATTTAAGTATTTCTAACCCCCCAATCAGTCCACATAGTGCCTGTCCAGGCCAGAGAGCTGGGTCCACTTTCCATGAGATGCATACTGGCAAGGTGTCACCTCCATAATGCTAACGCCTTGTGCCCTTGCTTCCTCACTTGGACAGTCCCAGAGGTTTGGGCTCTTTTCCTAACCTGAGTGTTTCATTCACTTCAGCGCAGATCTCAGGGTCCTCTGCTCAGTCTTTTCTTGGGGTTCTTTTGGTTTTGTCACTGCTCAGGCCTGTGTATGGGTCAGATGGAAACCCAGGACCGGCCTAGCTCGACAGATGCTGGGTGTTCTCACTCTTGGTTGCGTTAGCTGAGCCCTAACCCGCCTGTCAAGGCTGATTCCCCAGTCTGGCACTTTGAGTGCAGAAGGTGGGGGCCCGCAAGGATTCTAAAAATTAATACTGGCCACTCCAGGCTTGTATTAAACTCCCAAGGTTACAGCTTCTCTCTGACCTTGGATAGGTAGATGCTGCCACCACCCAAGTGCAGAAACCCCCTTTTGAGAACCCAGAAAGGCACACTTGGGAATTCCTCCTTGTGGGATACCCTAAAGCCCTTTCACCTCCCTTCTGGGGAAGAGCGGAGAAAGAAAAACAAAGGAAATCAGCTGTTGCCACCAGCTAATCAAACAACATGCACAAATCTCTTAGGACACCAAAACCCAATCCCATTCTTAAAAAAGGTAAATTTGATTAAAAACAAAAAGAAAGACAATACATCTGGAACGTAGGCTATTGCTAGATTTTAAAAGAGCAAATATAATAATTAAGCATCAAAAATGGTTTTCTTGAGGTCCAGCTTAAAGGTTACAAGCAAAACAAAAGCATTTGGGGGTTAGCACAGAGGAGGCCACAAGCCAATAAGAAATAAAAGAAATAACCCTAATCGCGTCTTCCTAGACATTCCCTGATTTATTTACATATCTGGGGTTTCAGATAAGTAGTCTCTAGGTATGATCTGATGGTTTTTCATACCTGGCTTAAAGCTTCCTACAGCGTAGTTCAGCCCTGTTCCTGCTCTGTGTCTCCTCCCTCCAGAGAACAACAACAGACAAGAGGGGAGCCTTGCTTCAATTTTAAAAAGTTCTAGCCTTTCCATTGGCTCTTTTGGCCAGATGCCCACTCACTCACTTCCTTTTACCTATGCATGCAGTCAGACCTTTTTAACTCTTTACAGGTAAAGCAAGTAGAGAACAGTTACCAAGAGGGATTTTATAGCTAACTGGCTGTCTGGGTCCATAAAAGGAAGCTACCCTCCCCCTGTTCATTTATCAAACCATCCCAGGTCACCTGCTTCAGCTCCAGTTGTTTGGAACCTCAAATCCTACGTTTTACAGAGCTCCTAAAATACTTCCCATGGAAATGTCTGGCAATAACCACGACGATCAGCTAGTGCTTAGCTTTTGGCAGAGACCACATGTGACCCTCCCCCACACCTTTGGTCAAGTATTGCAAAGCTGGGCAAGACAAGAGGGGTGAGGTAATATCTTTTATTGGACCAACTTCTGTTGGTGACAGAGACAAGCTTTCGCAGTTACACTGAGTTTCCTCAGGTCTGGGAAACTCACAGCTAAATATAAGGTGGAAGAAATTGTTTAGCGTAAGTAGTAATGTATTTCAAGGAACGATTCATGGTGAAGTGGCCAGTTAACACCCTGGAGGGAAAGGAAAGGGGGAGATAAGAAGGAAGTTCTGTGTGGGGTGGGTGTTAGTGGATTACAGGTTAGTGTAATAAGCCATAAATCCAGTGTCTTTGGTCAGTCCATGATTTTTAGGGGCTAGCAAAGTTATGAATTTAAGCTCTCATGCTCATCTATTGAAAATATTGTGCAGGTTTCCTTTGAGACTAAGGCCTGAGTGATCACTTTGTGAAACACGTTCAACCATATCGTTTTCCCTTGAGAGTTTATCAAGAACATAGTGATTGTCTGGTTTCACCCACATAGTTGTTATTGGGGCATTTAGTGCACTGGATAAGGTACACTGGATAATTGGTCCTGCTTTGAGCAGGGGGTTGGACTAGATGACCTTCTGGGGTCCCTTCCAACCCTTATATTCTATGATTCTATGATTCTATGATACACCTCATGTTGTGAAAGGCTTGTGTAGGAACAATGGATCTTGAAAGGTGTGTTGGGTTGGTGTTCATCATTGTAGCAGTGGTGATATGTCTGCAGGTTTGGCATCTGTTGTACTGGCAGGGTCTGGTGTGTCCTTGTAGTGCAGCAGAGTGGCCTCCCTCTGGACTTGAAAGCAAGAGAGCACTACACTCCCGCTGCTGGGTGGAGCCAAAACTGCCCCACCCCCTGTGCAGGAAGTACTGGGACAGGACAGGAAGTATAAAGGGAGGGCCCTGCAACTTGGTTGGGTGGGAGCCAGGGAAGGAGGCAGATGTCTCCACCCTGCTGCAGTGCTGAACCTGTGCTATGCAGCACCTTGCCCCTGGGGAACACCGATCCTGGCGATGAGTTGCTGGGAGTGCCATCCACATTGTACCATGAGGAGGCAGAGGACCCTGAGACTTTGGAACTCCGCCCTCCACCCCCCCCCAGTCTTTGGTAGGAAGTAGTCCAAGGAAACCCGATGTAGGATTCCCACTGACCCAGTGGTGGAACCATTCATCACTGTTTGGGCCCTGGGCTGTGACCTGGTGGAGTAGGGTGAGCCCAGGCCCCTGGGGTGCTGGCCTATTCACCCCTGGGCCAGAAGGTCTGTGCATTATTTGTGTGTTGTCCCAGCTAGGAGACTGTGGGCCCAGACTGTGTTTGCTGGCTGCTGTAACCAGGCTAGGCTAAAGCCTGCTCCCTGCTCTGTCCCGCCCAGTAGCTCAGAGCTGCCTGGATAGACTGTTGATTTCTGTCTCCCCACCCCTGGAGACTGTAAGCTAAAGACTGTTCATGCTCTGCCCCATCTAGAGGGCCAGAACCCAGACTCTTGATTGGTGACAGCCCTAGCCCAGAGACACTGGGCTAAAGATTGCTTCCTGCCCTGCGCTGCCTGAGGGAGCTAGCACTCCAGCCTGCTAATGGTTGTTTGCCTCTGCGAGGAGGCTGCGACCTGTGAACTGCTTATGGCTCAGCCCCGCCAGCAGGAGCCCAAGTGCTGCTGTCTGATGCAGCGAGACAGGGTGGCCTCCCTCCCCCATTTGTGCGTGAGAGACCACAACACTTGGTGGAGAATGCGGGCATCATCCATGCCCAGAGATAAGGGGATGAGCTTAGGACAGCATTAAATCGGCCCCCCTCTCACCTGGTCTGGAAAGGATGGAGGTAAAAAAAATTGATCAAATGGCTTGCTGAGGAGCAACAGCAGGCAGCGCAGCTCCAGCAGCAGCAACAACAAATGCAACAGCTGAGAATCAGCAACAGCAATTGGTCTGAGAGCCAGGGGCCCAACACCCTTATAGACAACTGCATTGCTCGCATCAGTTTGATGCACTCATACCAACCCCTGGGGGCTCCAACCCCAGGGGAGCAGTGGCCCCAACTGACCTCACTGTGCTTGTGTGCTTGGCAAAAATGGGCCCTGAGGACAACCCAGTGCCTTTCTCAATGCCTTTGAGAGGGTCGCCTCAGCAGCTAAGTGGCCTCTTAAGCAGTGGGCCACCCTTTTGGCCTCTTATGTGATGGGCCTGGCTCAGGATGCCTACAGGGGGCTCCCGGCAGGGGAAGCCCAAGACTCAGGTCAGCTGAAGCCTGCAATTCTCGATGCGCTCAAGATCACACCAGAGACATTCTGGCAGCAACTCCAGGAGAAGACCTACCCGCCCAAGGCCTGACCGAGGGTTGTAGCCCAACAGCCAAAGGACGTGTGCTGGCAGTGCCTACAGCCCTAAGAGCGTACTGGTGCTGAAGTCACTGAACAAGTCATCCTTGAGCAGTTCATACATGT